GACTGTTTATTGGGCACCTTAGACTATTGACCCCGCATACAGGGCGTATGACTCGATTAACTGGACACCGGCTCCCAACGGACTGCGGTTTTCGCACACCGCCTCGCTGCTGTTTTGCGGGTCAGAGGTTGGCTAGCGGAAGGCTTAGGTCATAAATCTCCCAAGAAGATTCACCTGCCTTGACCTGGGCAAAATGGCAGTATTCCTCCCACATGCAAACCATGGAACCGTTTTTATCTCCATAAACATCATTGCGCGGTGATTTGTTTGGCACAATCCGGATTCAGACGTGTGAAATACATAAGTATAAATGAATGATTTCCCGGTTAACTATATACATGCTCATTGCTGGAGACCAACTGAATGACCGGATTGGAACTGGAGGCATACCCGAACGAAACATTGCTGCCATTCGGAAGTAAAGGAGGGACGAAGCCATATCGTAAAAACATCACTACTAACAGGAGTATGTTTCACAAAGATCGAAAACATGTACTCATACGAATGCTGATTAGGAAACCGAGGCCAAAAAGACGAGTAGACACACTACAGCAGTAAAATGACTGACGTAAAGATGAAATCGCTTAAATACTAAGAGATGGAAGAGTTGGAAGCATTCCACCGTGTCTGACACCAACTAGCGTAACTACCCACATTACGGCTTCCTCGGAACTTGTGCCGTGGACTTCAAGGGCTCTCTGTGACTGCGTAAACCGGACACCAACCATCGATTGAGAGAAGGGATCTGACAACTTGAACACGCATCAGAATCATAGCCGGCCAACCGATGGAACAAACAAACACCATAATCAAGCATTAAATTTGAAACTGTCACACCTAGATTAACTTGACAATAAGATGAACAAACCAGGCAGGTGGTAACCCATGGCTTGTAGTATCAAGCAAGTGAAAAACTAGACGAGTATGGTCATATTATGTTCGTTTATATTTTGAAATGATGCATATGAGTGCAAAGGAGAATCACTGTACATAGTCCATTCACATCGCCCGTGCGTAAGACTTCACCGATCATCTTTGTGTTGTCCCTCACTTTGCATTGCTGCGTACGCAGTGTAATCGACGTGGTTGGCAGACGCGAAGCCCAAACCGATTCCACGCTGAGTATGTGTTAGAGCACGTGATACCTCGTACTCGTGTTCCAACCGACGGAAAAGTTCCGCTTGAGCCTCTGCCTGAATTTGGGTTTCACGTTCAGGAGGATTGACGGTCTGCGACTGTTCTGTATCCTCATGGATACCCATCAATTTTCTGAACTTTGCAGCAGCAGCCTGATCTCCTTTTCCAGCAATCAAGGAGGTGCTAGCCCATAGTGCAGTTTTGTTGTTCTGCAGTTTAAAGGGAATTAAAAAATACGGTTTGAGATTACTCCGAACGAGGAGCGACAATTAAAAAATATGGAAAGTCATGTTAGGATTTTTAGTGAATGTACTAGGAGCCTCGAGTAACCGTGATGCATTCACTTACCAAACATCATTCGCGTGTAGGTAAAAGTTTGCGAGATGGCACGATGTGAAGCCTTACCGAGGGTAAGTATAAACGTTGCATCTGTTCCACAGTAGTCCGTTGCAGAGCACCGTTTTCACAATCGTCACTTCATGGCAGGGAACATTACACGTTGAGTTCAATAGGTAACGTAGGGACGAAGTAAGCAAAACCAGAAATGAGACAGGCTTCGGGCATCCCGGGTAGAGGTTCGGAATATTTTGTAACGGAATGTACATTGAACGACTAGACAACAAATTGACGGTAGTGTGGTACGCCACCACTTATTAGATTACAATAACTAACGAGGTGCACAAGAACAGCCATCGCCTATACTCCATAATTAGAGTTGCCTTTCTCTCAATGAAGACGTATTTGCTACTGACCATCCGTGGTTGTCTTGTGAGCTCTTCAATGATCGGGAGAGTTTACCTTACGATGTTCCGCTGTGAGGAACAAGAATTTAAGACACCACACATTGTACTCAGTTATGTTACTGCTGGTGAGTGATAAATTTTACCAGCAATTTTACATGCTTTTACATCGCACGACAGACAACTGGCCATGATGATAAATAGATGTACGAAACCAAATAATCGTATCAATGGCCTTCTTAATATTCTTAAGTCTATATTCTATCAATTTACCATGTTTACAATAAACGCACAATAGTGAACAAATATAATCAGGTATACACCTTGTCTACTCCCAACGGCTGAGGAATGGATCTAATATGAATTCAAAACCAACCGATGGAACCATTCCGGGTATTTAGATAGTAACGCACGGATTTGAGTCACTACAACACCAATGAAAATATATTCCTGATAATGTTCAACAGGATAAAAAACTATCCAGCGCTTCCCAATGGTAAAACAAGTCAATTTTATATTAAGAATCTCCCATTGCTGAAATCAGCGTTCAACTATGGCGGGGGATTCAGCGGTTGCGCGTAGTAACACCACCGGGTAGCGCTGATTCTGCTGATCCCAGTAACCGGCGCCCAATTACTCTTACCTTCACTTACTTTTCAAAAAGTGAGGGACCCCTGGGGGAGTATCATAAATATGACATTCTACCACGATCGGCTAGTCCCTCTTTTGCCGATGGTCGGCTGCAATCGACCACGGATCCCGCTTGATTTCTCGAAAGCATTTGAGCCTATCTGGCATCAAGAGCAACCGGTGAAACGATTCACATTGGAATTTTCCCAGCACTTGCGCCGTGAACCTTTTGGTAACCACATCATTCCTCGAGTTACAGGAGCTTTCGTTCAGTCCCTTTCTGATGTTTCATGCTTCCTCCTTTTAATGTATGGTTTACTTTTGTTTACCTCTAACTCAAAACATGCATTCGAAC